AGGGTGGCTGTAGTGTAGCAAACATGTAAGAAAGGAGTAGGGTCCAGATGATGCAAAACCTTGTAGACCATGGAAAGATATCTGTGTTTTACCCTAAATGCAATGGGAAGTCATTGAAAGTTGTCAGATTAAATGCAGTATTCGTGTTAGTCCTATTGCATTTATGGCAGGCCCTGAGAAAGAAACTTGACTGTTTATTCATCCATACCTACAACCATTGTTTAAAGAGCACCCACTAGCCCTGTGCTAGAATTATGGGCTGACAGTGATGGTAGAGGGATGTCTAAGCCACAGCCCTCACCAGGAGCCTGTAGCCCAGAAAAGGAAATTAGATAACTACAGTGACTGAAACAAGAAGTAATGAAACTTATTCATTCAACAAATATGTACTGCACACCTAATCTATTCCAAGCCCTGTGCTGGATGCTGGATGCTGCCCTTCAAGGATCACACACTCTACACATCGGTCACAGGAGAAGTACAAACATGCTCAAAGAATTCTGAGTGCGTTAGAATCACTTTCAGCTGGGATACCTGGAAAGATTTTATAAAACAACGATTCGTTTGATTCAATAAATCAATAAACATATAGCGGGCATACGCTCTGCACCAGGAACTGTGCTAGCTACTGAGGTCAAGGACCTTAGAGTTCCATAGCAGATACACACATACTGCCCCGCCAAAAAAAAAAGCATTAAAATATTAGGTGCTACAATAGAGGACAGCTTTCCCCAAATCAGTGTTGATGAAGGATAATTCATTCAATGGAAGATATACCCTCCCAAAAAGGCATAGCTCCCACCTTCTTGAGTGGATTTGTCTATACATTCCTCTGGCCTGATTTTTACCTGTTGTCTTCCTTCTTACCTCCACCATTGCCCCTCCCCACTCTAGCAGATCCCCATTTTCTTTGTCTATCTTGGCATCCTTTAAAAAGCTAAAAGACTCCAAGATTTAAGCCTGACTTCTCCATAAGCTTGTTGTGCGTGATCTCTGAAAATTAACTTCCCTGAGCCTCCGTTTTCCCATTTGCACAATGAAGGGCGCGATCACATCTAGGGCTTAACTCCAGCCAGAATGATATTCACTCCCCTGCACGCTGTGCTCTGGCAGGGCTTCCTGCCTTTGCATGGCTGCACACAGCCCCCTCCTTCGGCCCTCAACACCACCACCTGGCAAATATCAAGACTCAGCTCAAATATCTTATCTTCTGGCAA